CCATGTGATTGGCTGATTAGAAATTAAGTGTTAACGAGCAGTTGGACAGGTGTACCTAATAAAGTGGCCGGTGAGTGTATATAGTTTATAAGCTGTAAAAATAAATATGAAGGTGAATTAAATGATAAAACATGAGGTAAAGTTCTCCTTTTTAATTGTTTTGGTTCATTTTAAATGTATTTATTTATTTAAAGGTTCATTTATCTATTTGTGCTTTTATTTCTAATGATGTCAGTGTTGGTGCTCTGTACTGCAGAACATGAAGAGGTGGTTCAGTGACTGGATCAGGTGTGTTGGAGCAGGAAACATGTGGAACATGTAGGACTGCGGCCCCCCAGGACCAGGACTGCCCACCCCTGAGCTAGCTGCTGCTGCTACTATGTGTTTTAACAAATAACCACAGAATTAAACAGCGGTGCAAAGACTTCTAAGTGTTTGTATATTTTTTTAATTGAAGTTGTTTTATGTCAGAATAAGTTTTTTCTCCAAACCGAGGTCCTTAAAGGAGCTGCAGGATCCACAACAGGTCCAATATTAACAGGTTTTACACTGAACATCACTTCAAAGTGGACAAATGTCTCTTTAGTTATTTGTTTTCTTCAGATATAAGAGTTCAGTTTTAATTTGTTCTTTGGTTTCCTCTGGCTTGGTCTTCCTGTGTGGGACCACGATGATGGCAGCAGATTTATTGTGCTTTAATATAAAACCGTTCAGATTAATTTGAGTTAACTGAAGGCTCTACGTCTATGAACCAAAGTAAGACACAAAATGATCACAGCAGCAAACACCCTCGCTCTCTCTCTAGATTTGATTTATCCATCTGCAAAAACTCTGGATTATTTTGATTCCTTGCTCTTTACAAAAATAAAACCTTTAACTGCCTGCTTCCTTTCTTTCTGACCATGAGTGGATTTCAGTGCAACAGGTTATTACAGATGAAAGCTGCAGTCTAACAGGTGATAATGATCCACTGTAAAGTTTCTAATTAGAGTTTAAAGTTTTGCTTGTCTGTCAGCAGGTCTCATTAATGTTATTAACGAGTGTTTTCACAGACAAACACTGCAGCACGAGTCTGTTTCATCGGATTCAGGTTGTAAAGACCTGAAGAAGGAGCAGCTCTGATCTCATCAGTCTGAGCCGATGGCAGCTGAAGGACAGCTGCTGGGGTCAAAGTGTGTGTGTGCATCATGTGCTGTTTTAAAAACAAAGAAGAAGAAATTGGTCAAAATGCTGTTTCCTGAACTGTGTGAACCATTCGAGTGTCCATGTCCTCGTCCTCCGTCTGTGCTTTGTCGCTCTCTGTCTCCTTCTCCTCGATGACCATGTCCTCTTTGCAGTAAGCTGCTCCATTGTTGTCTTTCTTGGCCATTTGGTAAGACGGTGTGTTGGTTTCTTTGTGCTGCTCAGCAAGAGTAAAGAAACTATTGAAATGTCCTGCTGGAAGGAGCAGAAGGAGAAGATAATCTGCTGTACAGTAAACAGCTGGTTACCTTCGGAGCCAGAGGAGTGATGCAGCACAGCTTCTCTCTGTAACGCTGGGGCAGGAAGAACAGCAGAGTGCCCAGGACCGGGAACACTGTGCCTGGGGTCAGCTCCTTCTCCTTCATGGGTCCTAAAGATGAAAAGAAGATTATTAATCTGAAGTCATACAGGCTCTGAAACCAAAGCTAGAGTGAAATACAACAAATGAAAACTTGCATTAAACAATTTAGGTCAGTTTTATGATAAGGACTCGTTAGAACCAGGAACCAGCAGCTGGTCCTTTGCTTGAAACAAGTTTCATCTCTAAAAAAACTATATTTAGATAACAATTCTAAATAAGTCTATGATTATAGAGAAAAGCTTTTTAATGCAGGTGAAACAGAATGAAATCTGCTCCATTCTGCTTCCATCTGCTCCTGTCTGAAGAAAAGTCCTGGAAGCACCTGAATAACAAACAAACAAACGACCGACCGACCGACCAACCAATCAATTAACTCCATCAGTTACTGTCTGAGGTATGTTATAATGACAGTTATGAAAAAAGACCAGTGGTGAGCAGCACTAATCTAAAACTTAGCTCCACTAGCCCTAAAGCACTAACTCTAATGTTTAGGTCCCTTAATTCTAAAGCACTAACTCTAATGTTTAGGTCCCTTAATTCTAAAGCACTAACTCTAATGTTTAGGTCCCTTAATTCTAAAGCACTAACTCTAATGTTTAGGTCCCTTAATTCTAAAGCACTAAC